ACATCAATATGACTGGGAAGGAAGAGGCTATCGACAAGTATGTCAAGTGTGTTGAAGATACGTTTGGGAAGTGCAAACTGAACAAGCACACATACACGAACTGTGCTGTCCGGTACAACAAGACCGATGATGGGAGCGTCACTCTCGACCAGGACGAATACATCAAACAGCTTCGTCCTATCACACATCCAGAACTCACAGGAGCTGATCCTGAAAGCAAGGCGACGAAGACAATTTCTGATATGTTCGTCAGTCTTCGTGGCGCTCTAGCCTATGCGTTGATCACGCAGGTATGGCTAATGGTCTATGTTGTCTCACTACAACGTATCCAAGAACCGACAAACATCCAGGTACGACGACTAAACGCGGTTACCAGAAAATTGCAGGCAGGCCCGAAGAAGATCGTGTATCATGCTATGACTCCAACAGGAGAAGTCGACCTGCATAGCGATTCTGGCTATCGTCGTCTCAACGGAGATGAAGACGACGAAGTCAAAGGCTATGGTATCCGCGGGGCTAACCTGCTGAGGCGTGGCCACACGCAAGCGGGGAAACCCGTCGTGCACCTGGTGGACGCATACTGCAAGTCTCATCGACTGCAGGTGCGTTCGAGCTACTCTGCGGAAACACTGGCAGCAGCCCACAACTTGGAAGACTGCTACCCGACCATTGTAACGCTCCACGAGCTACACTCGGGACCATTGACCCCCACACAGTTAAAGAACATATTGGAAATGGGTGGTCTATGTATCAAAGTCACTCTGACTATTGATGCCGAGTCTGTCTTCAAATCTTTGTCTAGCAAGGATCTGAAGAAGCCCACAGAGTGTACTCTGCTTGGGCACATCAGCTGGATTCGCCAGATGATGGAACGTGGAATCGTGGAAAGCGTCCAATGGTGTGACACGCGGGATATGACTGCCGATGGTCATACCAAAGGTAGTATTGACCGCGCGTTGCTCCTACAAGTAATGGCCGGCCAGCAATCCTTCAAGCACGAGCTGAAGAAACATACGCCGTATAGGGCGGGCAGGTCGTCTCAGGACGGCCCTGCCTCCCGAGCCAGCGGGGAAACCCGCGGGCAGGTGCGCTTTAGTAGCGAGGAAACTCGCCGGTAGCGAGGCTACTCGCGCGCCCTTTCCTTGTAGGCAGCCGCTGCTGCTTAGCACTGTTTTTCCGCATAATGTAGAAGTGCGGTACCTGCTCGTCTCCTCCCCCTCCGACTTTAAACGGAGAAGGTTAAAGGCGAGGTATAAATCGAGCATGTACCGCTGCCGTGCCTGGCTCAAGCCGGGCCCGGCCTAATATGTGACTGTGCCTCACCGAGGCGCACTACTTGCATCTGAGATCGGAAAACATCCTTTCCATTGACGATGCCCATCTTACTCTATACTCCAGATCCCATGCTTCGTCTCGCTCTCTTGCCCATGCGATATGAGCCAAAGCCTGGGATATGGCAACGCCTAAGGCGTAACACATACCTAAGCTTACCAGCTTGTTTTCGACTATCCATGCCTGCGCGCCCCCGAACGTGGGCAGATCCACAGACCAGCCTCGCCCACACAGCGTCGCCGTGTGTGCGCCGTCCGCCCGCCGAGGGGCTGCAGCCCGGCCGCGGGCCTTCCGGGGCTCCCATGCGGTGGTGGGCGGCGCGCCAGCCCCGCCCACAGCAGCTGGGTCAGAGGCCAGCAACATATGTACACGTACGCGATTAGCTTCCCCTGGAGTGCGTGTCAACGCGGACGTTCGTGCAGGCAAGACCGCGGAGGGCGTACATGTACATATGTCGTTGCTCGCCCACTGGGGGGCCTCCCTGCGGCGGCGGGGGCAGGCTGTGCCACGGAGTCTCGGCGGCGAGCCCTGGGGGGGTGGGAGCGAGAAGGGGCGGCCTTCTCAGGAGGCTCGGTGAGAAGTCTTCGGAGCCTGCCCCGAAGACACAGAAAAAACTCCTGAGGAGGCTGGAGGGCCTCTGCGAGGCCCCGCCGCCTTCTGAGAAGGCCTCTTCCTTCTCACTAACGCCCCCCCCCTCGCTCGCCGTCGCGAACCCCTCTGTCCAGACCCACAACGCATTGAGCAAACATCACTACTCCTGCTGTCTCACATTCCGCGCAGCTTGCCGCATTGCCGCTAGGAGAAAATTGCATCTTGTTCGGTGTGTCCCGAGGGCAGTTGTGACCGATGCCGTCGCCAAACTACACGATGCGACATATTGGCATTCGCTGGCAGTCGATCATTTCTGCCAGCCCCTAGCCGAATCTCGATGGCGCAGCGACGGCAGTTAGTGATTCACCAAAGTCGCCGTCGGCAAAACAAATATTACGAATTCCAGCATTTTGTATCCACAGCGTTTTGGGGCGGCACCATCGCCAAATATCAGCTTGAGGCAGTTAAGAACTTGACAGTAGGGAGTCCTTTCCTGTAGATTCAAGCAAGTTTACTTGCATGTCATCTCACCCTGCCCCAACCCCTCCCCACCCACCGCCGCCTTTTCGAACAGCGCCTGGCCGAAAAGGCGTGCAAGTGAGCCCCGTCGTAGCGTGAAGGACAGATCTCCTCTCGGGCCTCGCTACGATGCCCCTTTCCCTCCCTCCATGCAAGCACACCTGCCCGAGTCTGAAGTAAACCTGCAGCATGCAGACGCGCCTCGTGCTTTTCCACTTGCGGCCTCTGGGTGCCCCCGCTGGGCCTCGCGGCAGTCAAAAACAGACTCAGGAGTATGAGTAAGTCCAACAGGAGGGGAGGAGGAAAGAGGAGGAGGGAGAAGGAGTAGGAGGCGTCCAAGTAATAACAAGAACCCCATCTTAGGATATGGGGAAAAAGCGGGCCCTGGGGAAGGGGTCGGGGCTTCCGCGGGCCCCGTTCAAAAAGAGTGCATCTGATCTTTGGGTGCGTTTGCCGAACCACTTTGTGTTTAGCGGGGCTTCGCTGAACAGCTGCCGAGCAGCGAAGCCGTTCGGCAGATTCGCTCCCAGGCCCAGCCGAGCTTTACAGGTGACTGGGAGAGGGGGGATCTGCTGAACACTTCGATTGTTCAGTGGTGTTTCGTTGGAACATTGCTGCTCATCTACGTAGGCTGTCCAGCAGAGTGGACCCCCAGCGCTGCAAAAGGCGCCAGTGGTCGAGTGAGTGGGCATTTGCCGAACGACTGGGTTGGTCAGCTGGATTTCCTTCAAAGGCTGCCGAACAATTAATTGGCGTGTTCATCATATGAAAAGGCTCAAAGCTTTCAGGAGCGCTCTGGAACGGCCGCGGCGCCTTGTGCATCATCCCAGACCAGCCTTATCTCAGAGGGTCCTGACTTATCGACATCCGAATGTAGCCTGATCCTGCCTTCGTCTGAAGCGCCTCTCGGGCCGGATCGATCACCGAGGATCCCAGGGTCCGAATCCGGGCGAAAACATCCGGTGCGAACAACATGCGACGCCCAGACGAACAACAACATGTTGATGCATCGCGCATCCCCACCAGCCCACCCAGAAAACGATACCCAGGCGAGTTGTCTTGATCACGGAAGTGCAGGAGCAGGCAGTGGAACCGTGAGGGTGGGCAGCTGTCCAGCCGAAGATCGGGAGCAGCGTGAGCAGGCCCACGAGTGGACCACCAGTGCCCTGGCGGGCATTTCGGCGTGGGAGCCTCTCGGCAACTTCCCCGGGCCATCTCGGCACCCTCCTGCGGGCATCTCGGGGCCCTCGAGGGAGTCCTCGGGCCCTCGATGCCGTCGGTCAGGGAGCGGCGGGGAATTCTTCTCGCCCAGGCTGCTGTTTCCCGACCCCGGCTCCCAATGCCTTGTGCCAGCTTCTGAGCGGTCAGCCCTGTCTGTCCTCCCCCCCCCCACATCGGAGGCCGAAGAGTCTCCTCTTGCGCCCCCCTCTCTGGGCGCTCTTGGCCGCACTACAAGGGCCCCTCTGGGCCGTTCCTAGGAGGGCTCTCTGGGGCGATCGTCGGTTCTGGGGAGTTCTGGCTCGGCGTGGGTCTCCCTGGGAAGCCCTGCGGCCGTCTGGAGCCGTCTCGGGCAGTCTCGTGTTGGGCCGATAGTGGGGCCTGCTGGAGGCGTGTCGAAGGCTTTCTTGGACCATCTTGGGCAAGATGGCGCCGTCTTGAAGAGCCTCTCGGGCTATATGGAGCCGCGTTGGTACCATCATGAGCCATGTTGAAGGATACAACCCCCCTCCAGACACATGGGCAGGGTTTAGGGAAAGGCGGAGGGAAGGGAAGAAATGAGTTGGAATAATCACTGACGTGTTTACACACTCACGCCCGCAAGGCTGGTGGAATTGCATTCGGTTGGTTCTGTTCGGTTCGATCGGTTGCTGTGCCGTTGCTGCGTCGCTACGAATTGCTGCTTGAATCACCACTGGGGGCAGGAGGTAGTGAGAAGGTAGGGGGAGGTCCAAGTGGATGCTAAGGTGGGTTATATCTGGTCTTGCCTATTTTCCGGGTGTGTTACAGGCGAACACATTGCTTTGAAGGTTTAGGTTTCCCCGCTAACTGAGCGCAGCCCACCGAGCCCATATCTTCACCCCGAAGGGCAGCTGGCGCTCTTTATCGCCCATTGACAGGCTAAAAGGCGAGGCCAGATGCAATCAACCTTATCTTCCATTCACGTCCCCGTATTCACGCAGCGCACAGCCCCCTCAGTGATGCGGTGGTCTAAGTGGACTGCCTGCGGCCTGTCCGCTGCGGTCGGCCGCGGCTTCGCTGTCGGCTCGGTCGGCTTCCAGCTGCGCTGTCGCCGCGGACAGCCTCTGGGAGCCTCGGGCGCCCGAGGACGCCTCGGGCATCCGGGGCGCCCGGAGGCGCCCGCGGCGCCCGAGCCCCGCGAGGCGTCCGAGGCGCCCGAGGCGGTCAGGAGCGCGGCGCCCGAGGCGCTCGAGCGCTCCAGAGGCGCCCGAGGGCGCCCGAGGCGCCCGAGGCCGCCCGAGGCCGCCCCGCACGCTCGAGGCGCCCGAAGCCAGCCTTGTCCCCCCCCCCGCCCTCGCGCTGCGCCGCGGGCGAGCGCCATGGCGGGCCAGAGCGAGGCCGCGCAGCCCGAGGGCGCCGCGGTCAAGCCGGCGGGTCCTCCTCGCCGTCGTCGCGGTGGCCGCCGCCGCCGTCGCCGCCGCCGTCGCCGTCTCCGCACCGGGGCGTCCGTCGTGGCCGCCGCCGTCGCAGTGGTCGCGCCGCCGTCGTCGCCGCCGCCGTCGTCGCCACCGCCGCCGCCGCCGTCGCCGTCGCCGTCGTCACCGTCGCCGTCGCCGTCCCTGTCGTGGTCGCTGTCGCCTTCCCCGTCGTGGTAGCCGCCGCCGTCGTCGCCGCCGCTGTCGCAGCGCCGCTGCTTCGTTCCCTGAGATCCTGGCGTTGCATTGTTTTTCGCACCGGGCGTTTCCGCCCAGTTCGAGCCCGAAAATGCGGCAGGAAGATGGAATCTTTGGGCTCCAGTCGTGATGTGTCGATATGTTGCAAGATTTCCATAGCAGCGCTTCATCGGGGTAAGACGGGACCACCAGAGAGTCACACAGGGGGGACGTGGGGCCCTGGACCGACCAGTGGTGCAACCGTTTCGCCTGAGGCTTCCGCACAAGTTATTCATGAAGCGTGCCCTCGCCCCAGTGCTGGCCACATGGTTGATCCAGACGGCCACGATCCATTGTTGAACATGCACGTCTTCACTAGCCGACCTCCTACTCCTCGACCCGCTTCTTCACCTTTGTTGCTATTAGGGGGCTTTGTTGGGGCAATTCTGTGCACTGGGCGTCGACGCCCAGCTTCGGGCCCGAAAGTTTCACCGAAAGACGAGCCTAGGGCTCCCGATGCTGCATGTGATGCAGCGGCGGATCTGATTGATTTGGCTTCGTCTCGTGCCGCTTCTGTTTTCGTGTCTCTGGGCGGCAGGACTCCGCAGTGGAGCCACTCTGACAGGACAATCTCCCAGAAAGCTCTCTGGAGCGCAACAAAGAAACTGCCTGGCGCGAGGGTGCTGGAGATGGCTGTGCTTAGCCAGTTTGGACGAAGAGAATGTTGCATAAGCGTACGCCAGGCCCTGGGATCCGGCGCATAAACCCCCTGGCGGCGCCTCCGTCGCCGCCCTTGGCGCGCTCAACGCGCCTGGGAGGGGAGTCCAACGCCGATCCGAGAAATCGGCGCGGACCTTCAACAGTTTATCCTCATGCGTTTTTTGAAATTCTATTCTGCAGGCCTCCAGGGGCTCCCGCGGGGACTTCTGGGGACCCTGCAGTGGGAGACAGCAGGTGCCGATGCGAGACATCGGCGCGCCCCTTTCTGAACATGGGTGTTTGTGCTGAGCTGTGCTCCTACATCTTCGTCACGTCTCAGGGGGCAGGGGGCGCAGCCCGGTGCGCCACCATGCGCGCGCACCGCTTCGGGCTGCCTGCAGCACGCGCCTGCTGGCGGCTCTGGGCTTCGCGGCGTCAGCCGCCGCGCGGCTCCACCTGACGAAGGGGGTTTCCGCGCCGTCCTCCTGCTCCTCCTCCGCTGTGCCCTGAGGGCGCTGACATGAGGACCAGCTTGGGCTCAGGAGGGGCTCTCGCGTTGTGGGCACTCCTGAGATCCAGGCCTAGGTCGGGGAATGTGTTCGTGCCGAGGGTCGCCGTGGCCAGTACATCCGCCTCGGTTCTTATTCAGCGTCCCTTTTTGAATTAACTTACGTAGCACAGTGGCTGCAGTGTGTCTGTTCGGAGGCTCTTGTCCTGATTGTATCTCTCTTTGCCTCTTCATGCCCTGTGATTGCTGCTCCTCTTCCTCCCCTCCTCCGGAGAGCTCCTTCTCCTCTCAGGCAACCATCTTTCACGTTGCATCCCCGTCGGGAGCCTGAGCCTCACCAGTAGCGGCAGAGGGGTCTAGTGATGGGTGGAGGGAAACGCGAGAGAGAGAGAGAGAGAGCGAGCAGGAAGAGAAGCGCAAGAGTGAGCAGGCAGACGGGGTGCGCGCGCATCGTGTCGCTGCTTGTTCGCCGCGGCCTCGATCGGTTCCCTCTCCTCTCCCAGCATGACGTAGCACTCGAATCGGCAGCCTGCATAGCAGAGTGGATTCGGATTCCAGGTCGCGCTCTCCACTTTCGACTGGAGTCTGGCGCGGTGGTTTGGGGGCAGGACCGCCTTTTGCTGATCGGAGCGGGGGCTGAGAGGACGGACGGGATAGGGAGGGGTGCTCTCTCGAAAAGTGCTTGTCGGCGCTGTGGCTCAGAACTGGTCTAGCGGGCGAAGAACAAGGGCCGCCACGAGGGCGTGAGGTTGTTCGCGATTCGCGATCCCTCCTCGTCATCCTCGTCCTCTTCACCCCCATGGGGACGGCGCGAGTGCGCGAATCTATTCGCGCTTCGCGCAGCGCGAAGCGGGGACACAGCTGCTCTTGGAATTGCGGTACAGATCGTCCTGCCACTGAGGGCGCCTGCCCCCAGGGCGGCCGGAAAGCTTCTGCCCCGATGGCGGCAGGTGGGGGTATCGGGGACAGGCGGCCCTTCGGACAGGCGTCCCCGATGGCGGACACGTTTTGGTGTCATACATTTCATGTAATCGCTTCGCTCATTCCGCCGGCCCTGGAGCGCTCTTTGGGGCCTCTTGGGGACCTTTCGGGGGCCTCTTGGGGCTCCTTGGCGGCGTCTTGGGGGCCCTGGGGCCTCTTGGGGGGCTCTTGGGGGCCTCTTCGGGCGGGAGGGGGATGTAGTCGATTACGGCTCCCCCCTCGGAGGCCACGATCCTCGCGAGGGGGGTCGAAAAATAGCCCTCCCCTGGGGCGTTCTGGGGGGATCGCCCGGGAGTGGCGGACACGTTTTGTGTAATGCATTGTATGTTGCTTGCGAACTGGTCGAGGGGATGGTCTCGAGCTGGCCTCTGGGAGGACGATCAAGACCTCCTGTTCGTTTCCTTGGCTGGCCTGGCTTCGCACGGCAGGAGGAGGGCGATCAACAGGAGCAGGACAGTGACAAGGAGGAGGAGGAGGAGGAGGAGGAGGAGGAGGAGGAGGAGGAGGAGGAGGAGGGGGAGGAGGGGGAGGAGCAGGAGGAGGAGGAGGAGGAGGAGGAGGAGGAGGAGGAGGACGAGCAACATCGGGGACCTGCCTAAAATCGAGGATGGGCCAGTACGTCCAACATCGCGGCACACGCCGTAACGGTCTGGACGGCCTACGCTTGCATCAAGCGACCGCGTCTGTCTTCTCCCTCCCTCCCTCCCCCCTCTTTCCCATCTCATTCCCCGCTCCTTGCCTCGGGCGGGCGCGCGCGCGCGCCTGGGGGGGGTCGGTGGCGCAGGTCCCCAGGCCGCCTTCCGGTTCTCTCCTTGTTCTTCCTCCCAATGTCTTCCCTTCTCCCCTCACACGGCGCTTGCGTACCCAGGTGGCTCTGGGACCGGTCTCAGCAAGAGGCCTTCCTTGAACCCGGGGGCCACAGTTTGCTGAAGAGCTGTAAAGGAGAGGACGGACTGGCCTTTTCCCCTGCTGCTGCTTGCTGGCCCGCTTCTTTCCTCTCTTTCGTTAGCCGAGGAGGAGGAGGAGGAGGAGGAGGAGGAGGAGGAGGAGGAGGAGGAGGAGGAGGAGGAGGAGGAGAGGTTGCTGACGCCACGGGCGCTTGCGTTCGCCCAGTTGCTCGCCGAAGAAAATGCATCAGGTTGGCTCGCGCAGAGGTGCCAATCAGCCGCGCGGCCTGTCAGCGTGATTGGCGCGAGCCTCCAGCGGACACGAGCAGGCAAGGGCCCTGATGAACTGCGCAGGGCGCCACCTGCGCTTCCTCTTCCCGCGTCGACATGTCGTCCGTTGGATCGCGGGCGGTCTTCGTGACGGTTCGACTGCCTGCCATGCCCGCCGTGAGCGGGCCGCCTCTTGCCAGCGGCCCCCCTGAGAGTGCTGCACGCTCCTCGCAGAGGCTCCTCTCTGGGACCGTTTCTCGTGGACACCTGGAGTCCTGAGTCCTCTCCGCCCGCGCTGTCAACTGTTTCGGATCGAGTCTCAAGCGACAAGAAAACAGAGGCTGCGCGTCTCGCCCCCCGGGGGCTCTTCTTCGGACCACAGTGCTTGCGTTACTGTGCCGCATCGAGCGAGCCTCGTCGACGATGGGACCGGAAGCAAATCGGGGAAATGCAGTGGTTTCTGCTCTCGGATCGCTGGGAACCGCAAGTATGGTCTTCGGAAGAAGTCTGCGTTGGTCTCTTTCGGGGTCGGCGCCAAGCCTGCCCTGGCGCCGACCCACTGTCGGAGGTTAGCGCTGGCGCCGCATCACTTCGCCGCAGGCACTGCACATGGCAGGGTGTAGGCGCCACTGGCGCGTCAAAGCTGAGAGTGGTGGAGCGGCTTGGGCACAGCTGTTGTAGCACAGGCGCCGCACACATCACACATTCATCTCTGTTGGCGCAGGCACTGCGCGTGGCAAAGCACGTGCGCCGCAGGCACGCCAAAACACGGAGTGCCAGGCGTGTGCTCGGCACGGCAGTGTTAACGCAGGCGCCGCGAGCATGTCCTCAGCCGGCGCAGCTGCAGGGCGCGTGAGGGCGGTGTGACCCAGTCGTTGACAATACGGGCGGCGGTCCCCGTTCCCGTCGATGGATGGGTATTCATCGGTCGAAGCACGAGGTCAAAATGCCTACACTCCACAGGGGCACAGAGGAGGAGGAGGAGGAGGAGAAGGAGGAGGAGGAGGAGGAAGATGAGCAGGAGGAGGAGGAGGAGGAGGAGGAGGAGGAGGAGGAGGAGGAGGAGCCACAGCCAGGAGCACTGTAAGCCACCGTCGCCCTGCCACGGTGATTTGCGAGTTGCCCTTGTTCGGTTCCCGAAGAGGGGCGCTGCGGCCGCAGCTGTTTGCGGGCGTGTCCCGGGTCGGTATCACTAGAAGGCGCTTTGCCAGCAGGGGCCCTGTCCACCCCCGACGAGAAATCTGCGCGGACCTCCGAGGGCGGCTCCTCATCCCTAATCCCCGAGCTCTCCTCCTCGGGAAAAAAAGGGGGGCCGCTCGCACCTCTGGGGGCTTCTCGGACTCACTGCGTCGAGGATGGGCGCCGCCCCTTCGTGCACCCCCGAGTGGGGCCCCAAATTATATATATATATATATATATATATGTATATATACATATATATACATATATATATATATATATATATATATATATACATGTGTGTGTGTGTCCAGCCCAAGTGCCCACAGTGGGGGAAGTCGCCATTCCCCCCTTCTTCGCCCACCACTTCCTGTTATGGCTACCCCTCACTTTCCAGCTCTTCAACAGATGGACGGCAGAAAGAGCGTACGTCCACAGGCGTGGTTGCGGGTGCAGCTTGAAGACCGCCGTGCCTCCGTCGCCCTCAGGATCCGCTTTTCTCGAGCCGCGGGAACGGAAAGGCAATTGGCTTACCACTCTTTCTTCCCCTTCCTTCTTCTGCATTCTCGTCCTTGTCCCCTACTATTTCCCGCTATCCTCCTTCGACTCGCCGAAAACGATCCTTGGGTGCCGGGATCGTCCCGAACGGCCGCCAGAGATCCGAGTCTTGGCCCAAATCCGACGCCAGGGTCAATTTTAATCCGATTGATCACATCGATTTTGTCCGGCCCGATGCGGCCCAAGACTTGCATGGTGAGTACGCGGCCGGTGCGATTCGATGTCGATGCCGCGACGATGCTGGGCGGTCCGACGCACAGTCTGGTCCGATACGATTTTATTTGTTCGATGCTGACTTACCCGACCGACCCCCATCATCGGCGTTTACTAGAGACTGCCCTGGAAGTTTACCAAGCATCCTCTGGCCTGCTCGATGTCTTCATTGGGTGCGTTTACTCAATGGTTTCGCTTGTCGGGGTGTTTCTTGTGAAGGTGTTGTTTGCTGCTCTCTACTGCTGGATGTGTTTTTCCCTTTACTATGCCACTTGCAGACAGCCATGCCGCCGTCGCCCTCAGGATCGTGTTTTGTGGAGCAGCGGGAACGTCAGGGCAATGGGACACAGTTCTTTCCTCCTCTCCCTCTGCCTCCCCCCTCGTACTCCATCACCTCAGCCTCTGTCCTGGAAGCCATACTTTCTACTCCTCGTTATCCTCGTCTCTTGTGTCGTCCGTCCTCCTACTTCAACCCTTACTGGCCATCCTGCACCTTGTCATGCTCCGTTTTCTCAATATCTTCGCATTTGAAACCCCTCCCCTTATTCCCTAGAAGTCTCCAGACCACTCTACTTCCCCATGGAAAACAACCTCTCGCGCTGCTGCCGCACAATGTCATCCTCCTCCTTGCTGCATTTTCTCTTCATCCTCGACCTCGTCATCATCATCATCATCATCATCATCATCATCATCATCATCATCATCATCAGCATGATCATCATCATCGGCATCATCGTCACCAACATCATCATCACCACCACAATCGTCATCATCATAACCATCATACATACATACATACATACATACATACATACATACATACATACATACATACATACATACATACATACATACATATGTATACACATATATATATACATATATGTGTATACATACATACATACATACGTGCATACATACATACATACGTACATACACACATGCACATCCCTCAATACATCCATCCATCCATCCATACATACATACCTACCTATCTACCTACATGCATACATACAATCATACATACATACATGCATACAGACATGCATACATGTATGCATGCATGCATGTATGCATGCACACATACATACATACATACATACATACATACATACATACATACATACATACATACATACGCATGTACATGCATACATACATACAACCATACATACATACATAATGCATGCATGCATGCACACATACATACATACATGCAGGCACACCGAAATACATACATACAGACATACCGACAGGCAGCCAGACAGACATACATACATGCAGGCATGAATGCACGCATGCATTCATGTATACGTACATACCTGCATACATGCATGCATGCATGCATGCATACAATCGTACATACATACATACATGCATGCATCCACACATACGTGCATGCACGCTCGCACGCATACATACATACATGCATACAAGCATACGTTTTCCTTGTCATACCTCATCCTCCTCCTTCGTAACCTCCTTCTCGTCAGATCGCACCCCCCCCGTTCCCGATGAAGATCCTTGGCCGCCTGCCTCTCGCCTGTCGCCTCCCACCTGTCCCTGCTTCCCGTACGTTCGTCACGCAATTCTCCACGTTGGTAAAGTGCGGCATCGGCCTCCTCCCCTCTCCACTGGGGTTGCAGTTCTGCTGCGCGATCTCTTTTTCACTTGGCTCGTCCATGCGCGCGAGCTAACAGGGACATCAACGAAGCATGCCGATAATGCTACGGGAAGCCACACACGCTGTGCTGGCTGAAGGGACCATGGAGCAAGTGCAAGCGCCTCAGCGATGAGAAGAAACAAGTGGCGCCCTTGCGGCAGAAGATCCTGAAAAGCGTTACGCAGTTACGCGGGCGGGTGTGCCACGAGGGGGGCCAGGATGGGGGTCTATGGTGGGCCACCGATTTCGGGTACCCAGGCACCGTCATCAGATGTTAGAGAAGAGTTCGATACTAACGTCTGCGTGCACACACGCACACACACACATATATATATACACACACACGTAAGCACAGAACCTTCAGATCCCACGTTGCGAAACATGCAACGCCCAACAGCCCTAGACCCCACCTTTTTAAGGCATTCTTTGATCCTGAGCAATCTGTGATCACCCAGGGGCCCTTTACGAGGCAGACAATCGCCCGTTGCAAAAAAAGCGACGACAGGATTTCAGGGGCAGGGGAAGCACAGCATTCCCCCTCGGATCGCCGCAGGGTTTGCTAAGAGAGGGTGGTTTTATGTGAGTGCGAATGTTGGCCTAATTTGGCCTGGCTTATCAGTGTGCTGCAAGTGCCCTGAGAGGCCTAGGGCCTAGGGGGGTAAATATGGGGATAATGGGTCCCCGTCCACTTACCGAATTCATCTTTCCCCTGAGCCATTCAGGGCACCTTCAACCACCTTGTAAGTCAGGTTGGGCCAGGCGTACCCTACACTCGCATCCATTTATGGGCCCATCTCATTTTATCGGTGGCGGAATCCGAACCCTACCCTCGCCGGTCAACGTTTCAGGCAATTCGATGGGCGGGGGGGCCAGAACTCGCCGAACACGTGAACCCCTTCGAGGGTCCATTCGATCCGATCGATCCGAGTCGTTGTCGATCTTGGCCCGACACGATTCGATCTCGATATGTCCGACGACCCGATACGACCCGTCGCCACCTGCCTTGGAAACCCTCGCGGCGCTTCGGCCCCACCCTGCAGCACCCGCGCGGTGCATGACGCAGGCCGTGTCCGTGTCCGTGTCCGTGTCCGTGTGTGTGTGTGTGTGTGTGTGTGTGTGTGTGTGTGTGTGTGCGTGTGTGTGTCCGTGTGTGTGTGTGTGTTCGTGTCCGCGGCGATCCAAGCCGCTCCCGGTCCCGAGGCTGTTCCCGCCGGGCGCCCCCTCGGAGGGCGTGGTGCCGCCGCCGCGGGGCGAGGTCGCGATGGAGGTGGCGTGGGCGCCGCGCGGCGCCGCCCTGCAGTTCCGTGGGCCGCCCGGGGAGAGCCTGGGGGCCTCCCGTTGGCGTCGTCGTCGTCGTCGTGTTCGTGTTCGTGTTCGTGTTCGTGTTCGTGTTCGTGTTCGTGTTCGTGTTCGTCGTCGACGTCACGTTCCCGAGGCTGGGGTTCGTACCCTGACATCTCAGATGTCGACGCGCCGTTTGTTCCGACGCGAGGCATTCTTCCCAGAGGAGGAGAAGGTAGCCCCATACCTCCACCCTTCCCTCGTTTTCACCTTTCTGTTGGCCCCCTGGAGGGATCTCGTCGCCACTGCTGGGTTCGCCTCGAAGTTCTGTTCAGAACGCACCCGAGGAGAGGTCCGGGGAGTAGTGGTCTCCGTGCCTTGTGGTTTCCCCACCTTCCGTCTTGGGGAGGGTGCAGTGGGCACCAGGGCAAACGACGCCTCGGGCGCGGTGGGCTTGCCGTGAGGTAACCTTTGTGCCCGCTTCGTCTACTTTGCGGCGCGGGGCGCAGGGTTTGCCGTGGGTTTGCCGTGGTGTCGGCGTACTTGGGGCGCGGGACGCAGCGTTTGCCGCGCGTTTGCCGTGGTGTCGGCGTCGTTCACCTGGGCGCGTCGAGAGCAATCGGCGCGGCGGCAAATGATGTTCAAAACGCTGGGGGGGCGGGCGTTTCTTCGTTTTCAAGATCGACGCTGTTTTTTCCGCTTGGGGGTCAATATTTGCTTCCTCATTTTGGATTCTCGTTCGCGCCGTTTCGGTGCGGTTCCGTTTTGTACTGCTTTTTGTTTGTTGTGAATTGCAGTGTTTTGCCCGTGTGAGTTGGTCGAAAACCGAAATGTTGAAAACGAAAAGAATCATCCTGGCATGTTTAGCACCGGCGGAGCCTGACACGACGGAAGGTTTATGCGCGGTTTCGGCTTTTCGAGGGGCCCCCGTGGCCGTAAAAACATGATTCCCGATGAGAAACCGGTCCTTGGGAAGAGCTCCAGACCAGGGTTCGTTCCGATTTCCCCGACCCGATTCGACTCGATTTCGATGGCTTCCAGCGCCGATTCGCTCAGAGCTTCTGATGCCGATCTGGATTCCGATTTCTCAGGGGGGGTCTGTAGTCTGTAGCAGCCTGCCGACTTGCGCCGATCCGACTTCTCCTGGCCTGGCTGCCGGTGCTCGTCGATCCGACGTGTCTATTCGATTCTGGGCTCTCCTGCAAACTCCTGGGGAATAACACGTTGCGAAGCATCACGGCGTCGGAGGTCTGGGTGTCTCTCCGCCGCCTATCGGGGGCCGATCTTTCCCTGGGCCTCAGATTAAGTCGGGCTTGTCCCTCTAGAGGAGGAAAATTCAAAAATATTCCAAAATTAGTCTGGGGACGATTTCCTGTGTATGTTTGACTACTTTGGAGTATTTTTGACTATGATGTTTAATATTTCGCCCACGGTCCGCCTGTAGGGGGACATGCCCGACCTAAGTCTAACCGAGGTAAAAGATCGGGGTCGGCTCGGGGAGGGTACCCCGATGTTTTTTCGTGTCTGGTGGATGCTACTGTACATCCTGTGGGAGGTTGCCCTCGGTGATCTTCTGGTTTGGGGTGTTTGGGCCGGGGCGGAGTGTCTCATGTTCTTGAAGGGTGTTCTTCTGTCCTAGGTCTGGCCTTCTGGGGCATTTCGGAGAAGGCGTCGCCTTTGAGGGCCGAGCAAGCTGGCTTCTGTTCTTCGGCGGAAGGCGGCGGACGTAAATGGAGGGCGGCTCCGCTGGCGGATGCCTGCGGAAGGCTTGCGGAGGCCGGCGGGAGCAAGAGATGCGCCCCCAATAGACGGCAAGATTTTTGGTTTCACAGACCCGGCGCCCGGCGAAAAGCCGCGTCCCCCCCTTCCACAACTGGACACCTTTGATCCCTGTTCTCGTGATGGGCATGTTTTCCAACACCACCATAAGTTGGAGGGGGGAAGGAGGAGGAGGAGGAGGAGGAGGAGGACGAGGAGGAGGAGGACCCCCTCCCTCTCCTGCTTGTGGTGGTGGCGGTGGAAAACAAGTCCATCCTTTCGAGAGCCCCTCGAGCGGTCCCTCGGGCCTTCCGCGGCCCTCTGGCCAAGCCCCTGCCGGCCATTGGCCAGCGGGCCCACATGTGGTATCCGAGCGGGCGGCCACCGGCCCCGCGAGAGTCCCGAGCGGCCCCCGGGCGCCTCTCCGACGCTCCCGGCAAGACCTCCAAGAGGCATTCCCAGTGGGGACGACTCGTTACATGTGCTCGTTAAAGGCTTAACGACTTCTGCCGTCCGTCGACTCGCGCTGGAGCGGCCGCGAAGTGCTCGAACTTTCCCTGGAGATCTCTGGATTTACCTGGATTTACCAAGGTTTGTCTAGATTTACCTGGATTTACCTCGATTTATCTGCATTTACCTGGGTTTATCTGGTTCGATTCTCACAAGTCGATTGGCGAAAAGTCGACAAGCCCTAAGGGATGTGCCCGTGTTCGTGTTATTCGGCGGGGGCATCCGATGCTTTGGCTTTCCGGGGGCGGCCGTCTCAGACCGCGGCTCGGCCCAAGAGTGAATCGCCCCAGCACGGGCCCACGAAATGTTTCCGTACCCATCTGGGCTCAGGCCGTGTTGGCTCCTGACTGGCGCGCGGGCGGTCCCCGCTCGCCCATCCCTAGCTTTCCGCACAGTCTCGCCGCCATGGTGCCGCTCGTAGTACCTCTACTTCTTAACAGCTGCCTGGCGCTCCAGACCAGCGTGACCTCCAGGCTTCCTGCGGCGGGGTGCCGCGATGCGGTCCCGGGCGACTGGTGTCACACCGCGCTCGCGTGGGCGAAAGAGAAAGGCGCCACGGAGCACCCGGAATGGTTTCCAGGGGACGTGGGCGAGTACACGGCCCGGGACTTCCAGTCGCTGATGCACCAGCTCGGCGTGGCCCAGTGCACGCCGCCCTGCGCCCCAGAGCACGTCGAGCGGCAGCACGCGGTGGTGCTTCTGCAGTCTGGCGAGGCCCTGGCTCAGGGCTTCGGCGCCTCCGAGCTCGAGGAGCTGCTGGCGAGCACCTGGGCGCCGAGGGCTGCGGCGGGCAGCCCCGCACAGTCGCCCGACGGCCCCGCCGCCGCCGCGAGCATGTCCGACTGCGAGGACGCGGCAGAGGGCAGCCTTTGCCACCGCTCCGTGGCGTGGCTGCGTGAGAGTGGGTTCGCGATGCACCCCGATTGGTACCCGGGGCTCTCGAGCGACACGCCCTTCGAGCATGTCCAGATGATACTCTATTCCCTCGGCAAGGTGGGCTGCAAGAAGCCGTGCCAGAAGGCACTCGAGATGGTGCCCGACGGCCAGTACAACAGCAGCGAAGCAGTCGCGCAACCTCCGCACAGCACCTGTGGCGACGCGGCCCCAGGCGGCTGGTGCTCGAAGTCCATCCAGTGGCTCAGGTTCTACGGCTTCGCTCATCACCCCGACTGGTACCCGAGCCTCGGCCCCGGGTCCACCGACAGGGAGATGCAGACCGTCTTGCACCAGCATGGCAAGGCCCAGTGCCCCAAGCCGTGCTCGGAGCGCGGCGCAATCGACGCGCTCGAGGAGCCCGCGGTGGCAGCGGAGCCGGCGGCGGAGCCCGAGCCCCCGAGAGCGGCGGAGCTCGTCTGCAGCACTGCCGGGGAGGGCTCGGCCTGCTTCGACGAGGTGGTGGCCCAGATGGAGGGGGTCCGGGAGCACCCAGAGCTGCACCCGTGGATCACGAACGCTTCTAGCTTCGAGGAGGTGCAGGGGATTCTCTTTGACCGCATGGAGGCGGGCTGCACCAGACCGTGCCCCGCAGAGAACTCGACACGGCTGCTTGCCGACGGTGGCTCCGAGATGAAGAAGCCATATGGGGAGATGACGATGGAGGAAGCGCAGGCCTACATGGACGGCAAGTGGGATGGCATGGGTACGTTTCCCGAGTCCACTTCCCTCGACGACACCGTGGCCTGGAAAGCCACGACTTCGGCGCCAGTCTCGACGACGGAGGCGGTGCAAACTGCAGAGGCCCTTGCGGAGGACTCTGTGGAGAACGCATCGGCGCCCACCTCGACGGCGGTGCAAGCTGCAGAGGCCGACGCGGAGGACTCTGCGCAGAACGCATCGGAGCCCAAGCCCTCGGCGCACGATGGGCCCTCGGCCGCATGGGGCGCCACAGAGACCGCGGCTGTGACTCCGTTCGAGCTGGGGCCGAGTGTGCCAGTGGAGGTCTTGCCCGTGGACGACGGCATGGAGACCCGCGCGGAGAGGGTGGAGGGAGCGAGCGGCACCGGGGGCACGGAGACCGCCGTGCAGAGCAGGGCCGAGCTTGCGAGGCAGGCGGAGCCTGGTGCGCCCGAGGAGGCCTCGGCCGGAGAGCCTGCCGCGGCGATCCCGGCAGTCGAGAGCGCACCTTTGCCAGAGGCGGGGGTGCCCGCCCTGGACGAGGAGCCCCTGCCCCTCGTGGGCGAGAGCGGCGTGACGGAGGGCCCCGCCAGGGAGGCGGGCTCGCAGGTGGACGCCGAGCTCGCTGCTCGCCCTGTCCTGGCCGCCGAGGAGCAGAGCAACGCGAGCCAGCCTGCTGAGGTGCGCAGCAGCGCTGCCATGCCTGGCAGTGCGAACGGCGACGCCGTCGAGCCTACCGAGGATGAGAGCGACGCGACCGGCGCTGCCCCAGAGGCCGACCAGGCCGACGTCGAGGTGGTGAGTCTGGAGCCGCTGCCCCTGGTCGCCGGCGACGAGGTGGTGCACTCAGCGGTGGAGGAACAAACTTCTGAAGAGACGCAGAACAGGAGTGGGCAGGAGCTTCTCAAGGATGCCGCTGTGGTCCTCGACACGTACGCGGATGTTCCTGCCGAGGTGGCCAACGAGACTAGCGAGGCGCCGGAGGGGAAGGCGGTCAGCGAGATTCGCGAGGACCTTTCGAACGAGACGTCCGCAAGCACCACGCACGCAGAGATGGGGAGCAGGACCGGGGAGGACTTCCCTCCCCCCTTTTCCCCCCTTCCCCCCCCCCCCCTTTTTCCCCCCCCCCCCTCCCTTCCCCCCCATTCCTCCCCCCCCCTTTTTTCCCCCCACCCCTTCCCTTTCCCCCCCCTCCCCCCCCTTTTCCCCTTTTTTTTCTCCCCCCCCCCCCTTCCTTTCCCCTTCCCCCCCCTTTCTCCCTCCCCTTCCCCTTTTTTTTTCCCCCCCCCCCTCACTCCTGGCCGCCGAGGAGCAGAGCAACGCGAGCCAGCTGCTGAGGTGAGCAGCAAGCGCTGCCATGCCTGGCAGTGCGAACGGCGACGCCGTCGAGCCTACCGAGGATGAGAGCGACGCGACCGGCGCTGCCCCAGAGGCCGACCAGGCCGACGTCGAGGTGGTGAGTCTGGAGCCGCTGCCCCTGGTCGCCGGCGACGAGGTGGTGCACTCAGCGGTGGAGGAACAAATTTCTGAAGAGACGCAGAACAGGAGTGGGCAGGAGCTTCTCAAGGATGCCGCTGTGGTCCTCGACACGCACGCGGATGTTCCTGCCGAGGTGGCCAACGAGACTAGCGAGGCGCCGGAGGGGATGGCGGTCAGCGAGATTCGCGAGGACCTTTCGAACGAGACGTCCGCAAGCACCACGCACGCAGAGATGGGGAGCAGGACCGGGGAGGACTTCCTGGCCGCCGAGGAGCAGAGCAACGCGAGCCAGCCTGCTGAGGTGCGCAGCAGCGCTGCCATGCCTGGCAGTGCGAACGGCGACGCCGTCGAGTCTACCGAGGATGAGAGAGACGCGACCCGCGCTGCTCCAGAGGCCGACCAGGCCGACGTCGAGGTGGTGAGTCCGGAGCCGCTGCCCCTGGTCGCCGGCGACGAGGTGGTGCACTCAGCGGTGGAGGAACAAACTTCTGAAGAGACGCAGAACAGGAGGGGGCAGGAGCTTCTCAAGGATTCCGCTGTGGTCCTCGACACGCACGCGGATGTTCCTGCCGAGGTGGCCAACGAGACTAGCGAGGCGCTGGAGGGGATGGCGGTCAGTGAGATTCGCGAGGACCTTTCGAATGAGATGTCCGCAAGCACCGCGCACGCAGAGAGGGAGACCAGGACCAGGGAGGACTTCGTGGAGACGTTCAATACCACGCCCGCAGAGATCCCTGGCCAATCCGCGCCCTCAGAAACTCTTGCTGAGATGGAGAGAAGGATCCGGGAGGAGGTCCTGACGGGGATGACAGCCAGCACTACGCCAGCAGAGATTTCAGCCGGAATGGCGAACGAGAGTGAAGAGGATCGTCTGGAGGAAGTGTCCGTCAGCACCGCGCCCGCAGAACCCCCTGCAGGCATGTTCAGCAGGATCCGGGAGAAGGTCCTGAAGTGGATGACAGCCAGCACCACGACCGCTGGAACTCCCTCCGACAAGGCACCCCAGATAGGGGAGGATGCACGCCTCAAGGAGATAGCTGCCAGCACGCCCGCGGAGACCCCTGCTGAAGTCGAGAGCAGGACTAGGGATGAGCTCCTGCGGGAGTCTGCGGCTGAGACCACCGTGCCCCTGGAGATACAGGACGAGATGTCAGCCAGCATAAGGGCTGAGGTGCTGCACGAGCTCGAGGAAAAGTCGCAGAGGCAGAAGCAGGAGATGAAGGACGGCGTCAGGCGTGAGCTGCTTGCCGAGATGGGCAAAGGTGAACACGCGGACCTGCCAGGGAACAAGGAGGACCTTGAGTGAAACTGGCTGGGATTATCTAGTACCTGTTTGACGACTGAAGACCCGTCGTTGCGCAGACTTTTTACCTGACGTTGTCGCTAGGCCTGATTGAGGTCGGCGGCGACTACACCTGAGCCTTCATTTTGTTCAGTACAGAGCCCCTTAGTGGTTCTCTCCAACGTCGCACAGATCTCCTTCAGTGGTTCTTGTCCTCCTCCTCCTCCTCCTCCTCCTCCTCCTCATCCTCTCCCTCCTCAAGAGGTCTGTTGTTGTCTCCTCATCATGGCTCCTGATCTGCTGTCTGCTGATACAACTTGCGGAGGCCCTTGGACGACTCTGCGCGTTTTTAAGCAGCCAACATTGTTGGGATGTGACGCCCTGGTCCCGGTCGCCTGGCGTGCCCTTGATTTTTCATTGTCGCTGGGCCTGATTGAAGCCGGCGGCGACTGCATCTGAGTCCTCTTTTTGTATAAAAGAGATGGGCCAACGAGGTTTCAAGAAGGCCCAAGGCAGCCCGAAGATAGTCCAACATGACCCGAATCATGCCCAAAGACAGCTTCAGGTGACCCCAAGACGCCCCCCCGAAGCACTCTATCCGCGTCGGGCCCCAAGAAGCCCCCAGGGGCACCAGAAATCCTGCGGGGAGGCCCCCAAGAAGCCTCCGAGAGTCTTGTTGGACACCTCGCAAGGAGGAGCCTACACTGAGAGGGAGAAAGGGGAGGGTTTGGCAGGGAAGGACGGGAACGAGGAAGAGGAAAAGGGAAGAGGAAGGGAGGATTAGCATGGGACATGACAAGAACGACGACAACGGAAACGTTAGCAGTAATACATGATATGCTCATGCATACCTATGTATCTATGTAAGCCAGCGTGGTCCTCAAACAGTGTGCTTCTGGCAGGTTATACATCTGGAGCAGTCGGTGTGCACCAGCATGAGCGAAGCAACTTGTGTGGCGTTTGTTCTCACTGCGCAGTATATGATGTGCAGTTTACACGTATGTGTGAGTGTTGTGCAGCCAATGTGGTGCAGTCTATTGGTGGCAAGCTCTTTGGAACAGTATATGTGGTGCAATGTGTGTAGTGCACCGTCTGTTGTACAGTCTATGCTGTGCAGTCTATCCATGTGTAGATTGTGCAACATGCGTGGTGCAAAATGTGTTGTGCGATATATGCGATGTGCACTCCATGTGGTGCGCAACAGATGTGGGGCAAGCGATGTGGTGCAATCTAGGTGATGCAACCGATGGTGGGCAGTCTATGGGGTGCAGAGGATGTGATGCGAGCCAGGTGGTGCGATCTATGTGGTGTCATGTCTGTGGCGCGATCTACGTGGTGCGACCTGCGTTGGGTAAAATATCCATGTACATGTATCCGCATTCACATGTATACATCTATGTTGTTTGTACAACCCGAGCTGTGCAATCTAAGATATGCCACATGTGCTGTGCTGCCAGCGTGGTGCAACATACGCGTTGCAAGAAATTCTTGGCGCTTCGCGTATTATCACCATCAATACGCCTGCAAAAAACGCTGGGAGGAGCGTTCAATGGAGTTTGGGCCGCATGGGTGAAGAGAGCTGCCATGAGGCAGGGGACCAACGGAAACGAAAAGCACGACCCTAAACGGAACACGGTTCAGTCGCGCAACGAATTCATCCAGGCGTGGGACAGCGCCAGGTACGACGCCTACAAGATGGACAGCGACCTAGGGCTCAACGTCCATTGGCCGTCGGTCAAGGACAAGCACACGAAGGTCCTCCAACGCGAGCGCAAAACCCACGCTCAGCGCGGACTCGACAGCAGCAGTGGACCCGCCCCATGGACAGCAGAAGGCAAGGCAGCCGCGGCGCCAGCCGTGCATGATCGATGGGCAGGCGCCGTCGGCTCCGCCACCCCCACCGGGTGGCAGGGATGGCAGGAGTGGAATTCCTGGAGCCACCAGAAAGCACCGTGGACGGAAACGGACTGGAAAGGTAAAGGCAAGCGCTACTCCCCCAGGGGAGACGATCGATACACAGACAAGCGCGCACGATGGTGGGACAGGGAGGACTAGTACGCCCAGGGCTAGCAGGGTCGGGCTGGCCTGACAGCGCGCCCCCTGCACCCCTGGCCCGTCGCCTGCGCCCCCCCCCCCCCCGCGTCGCCCGCACCTGTCCCCACTGGGGACGGTTTCGCCTCGCAGCGCCCGGCCTCGGCCGTAATACCCTGGGGCAACTCCCGCTGGGGCGGGGGTCTCCCCACATCTCACCCCTGGCGCAGCATAGCTAGACAGCCCGCACTGGAAAGTGGACCTTGCCTGGACATCTCACCCCCCCAGCAGATGGGGACTAGCCCGCAGGCCTCACCGGTCCCGGGACCACCTGCTTTGCTGTCCCACGGCGACAGCCATTCTCTCGGTGGCAAGGGGACGGCCGCAGACGCATCTTCCAGTGCACCCCTCCTTTGCTGTCCGGCGTGACAGCCGCCCACTTTCGGTGGCAGGGGGCAGTCGTTTGAAATAGTCGCCCCCCAGCACGCCGCTCGGCCGGTGCCTAGGCCTAGTTTGCAGCTCCAGCTACGTTGCGTAAGGCTGCGGCACATGAACCCCCCCATGAGGCGCGCCCGACGCTGGCACACTCCAGCTCAGACCGCATCGGCGAGGTTCTGCCACCCCCCTCGATGTAAGCGTGTTCCGCGGCGGTTAGCTGCACCCCCTTCATGCGCAGATGTTCTCGGCGTGCAGTTGCTATCAAGTTACTTGTGTCTTGCGGCGGTTAGCTGCACCTCCCTTTCCATTGCAAGGTGCACTCTGAGGGTGGCACCCGCTACTGGACAAACCAGGTGACAGGAGACGCCCCGGCGCTGCTGCGGGCTGGCCGCGGCGAGGGACGGCGCGCCTCCCGCCGCTTCGGCCCGGTGGGTGCCCCCCACTGCGCCTCAGGGGTTCGCCCGCGGCGGCCGTGGAGGCCATGTCGGGTGGCCCGTCGGACAGGCAGCTCGGAGGTCCCCCCCCCGCGGTCCGACCCTCTGCGTTGTCCGCGGCTGGCATCGGTGGGCCTCTCTGCAGCAGGACGGCACTGTGGGTCTCGGGCAGTCGCTGGCGCCCACCGGCACTGGGGGTGCGTGCCCGAAGGCCTCGCTTTGAGCGTTGCAGCCTGGCACAGTCCGCGTTTTACGCATCGTCGCATTCACCCCGGGCGTTTCGACGCAGGCGCCGGACTCGTTGCGACGGGCGCCGCCAGCCCCCTCACTCAGCGGTGGAGTTCGAGGGCTGCGCGCTGAGTGGTTCAGCCTTCCGCGTCTTTTGCTTCTTGTTTTCCACCGCCAACAGCCTGTCTCCCGGGTTCGTGCTTCTTACCTAGCCGGGCTGGCTGCTTGGAGTTTGGCGCCGCACGGGCGACTCGCTCCGTTGCACTCGCGCCCGCGTCCGCGTGTGCACTTCGGTATACTGGGCGGCGCCTAGGTGCGTCTGCTGGTGAATGCAGAGCATTGTGTTCAGTGCATGTGCAACTGCACGCTTGTTGTGCAGGTGCGATCCGGCTTGCCAACGTGGCGCTTGGGGTCGCCAATTCGCTTTGCGCCGCCCGCCCCGGACATTGCCCTTCGCCGCCAGACCGTTGTTGCGCGGCTGCAGACCAAACAAGTATCCTCACCATCCCCGTCGCACTCCCCCTGCTGCCACTTCTAACCCCGGCCCCCCCCTCTCTGGCAATGGTGCGAGCTCGAGCGCCGATGGGTGGCGGCGGCGCGGCCGGAACGCGCCCCCAGCGCGTCTGCCTGGCAGCGGGCGGGCGCCCTGCCTGGCTTCCGCGACCGCCGCCCTCGGGTCGAAACCTGGCCCCCAGCGACGCCGACCGCGCCGGCGGGTCGGGCAGGCGGCGGACTACAGGCGGCGGGCGCGCCAGCAGCAGCGGCAGCAGAAGCAGCAGCAGCAGCAGCAGCAGCAGCAGCCGCCGCGCCAAGGACCAGCCGCTGATCACCCCGCTTTTGGTAACGGGGCCCGCCGCGCGCCAATGCCTTAGACCCCGACACGGGGCAGCAGTTGCATAAAGCTAAGATCGGCGCATCCAGTGGGGCACCCCCGGGGAGACACCCGGCAAAACGATGGGGCGGCTTCAAGTCACCCTGGGGGCGATGATCACAGGCGCCTGGCGCGCGTTCGCCGAGCAGGATGCCATGCCTGGCAGCACGGGCGCGCTCGACCCGCTGCGGCAGGACCAGCAAACTTGCGTCAATATCTTGTCCTCCTTCCGCAGCCACAACTGCGACGCGCGGGCCCCGAGCGACGCGCTGGACCTCGGCGCTGACTGAGCTCAGCTGCGGCATCGGTACCTGAGTGGAAGTGGCGGCGCGGGCAGGGGGCGCCAGGCGGCGAAGGGCCACGCTGACAGCCGCGCGCCCAGGAAGGGCAACAGACAATGGAAGGTCGCCACCTAGAGCTATGCGGGCGCGCCCGCCCTTGTTTCACATTAGTCTGCCGCCGTCCCGCCCTTCCTGCCCCTCGCCGCCCGCTGCTCGCCGGTGGCCCCGTCGCCCCTCGCCGGCTGCTCTGGGCGGCTGCGGCGGTCAGGGCGGCTCGCGCGCGCGCCCCCGCCAGCGCCGCGGACGCAGCTGACGTCTTCGGGCGAGTCGGCGCAGCCCGTGATCGCTGGCCCGCGCCACGCGCCGCCTGCGCCACCCTGTGCCGACGCTCCCTGCGCCCGTCGGTGCCAGTGGTGCGCGTGTTATCGCTGTTATCACTTCTGGCTGGATGCTGCCAGCCTGCAAGCCCCTGCCCTCGCTCAGCGGCGCTTGCTCTCCCCGCCGCCCCTGGGCCCTCCGCGGCGCAAAGGTGCATTATGGGGTCGCCGCCCTTCTTGCCATCGCTGCCTCCTGGGGCCCCTCGCTCCTTCCGCCCCTCCTCCGGCAGCCGGGCCCGCAGTGGCCCTGTTGGCCCCGGCTTCCTGCCCCCCCCCCCCCCCCCCCTGCTCCACATGCCCAACTTCCTCGTTGGCGCACGGAGCCTCCGAGTGCACGTGGTCCAGCCTGTGCTCTCCTGACTGT